TTTCAGACTCACTGAGGTTAAAGGTAAAACTGCGCACCTCAAGTGCACATTATGTTCCAGAACAAAACGAAAAAGTAACGCAATAGTTACTTTTACTGGTAACTAGTTACTTTTATTGTGGAGTAACTCCGTTAGTAACTCAGTTACTTTTTGGGAGAAGTAACTAGTGACTATAACTAATTACTTTTTCAAAGTAACGTGCCCAACACTGTTTGTTTGTGATGAGGCCACAATGTTGTATCATGTTTAAAAACTCAAAAACACAACTGTATTATAGATATTTGTAATAGACACAGCTGCAAAGATCATTTTCACTTTTTTAAACCAATCTACAAATGTGTTTTTTGACACTTTCTGCATCAAATCGTGTTCATGATCACATGGCAGCCCTTAGTGAGTAGTTCCCCATCATTTTGCGTGTATTGTAATTATCATCAGAAATGCAGTTATTATGAGTCTCCTTTTTTCGGCGTAACGATGCACAGAGCGTCCGAAGTGCCCTGATGCACGCCCGGCTGCGCACAGGGCCGGTTCATTGATTTTCCTCTTTGCTGCATAGCTCTTATTCAAACACCATTCACTGAAGCACCCAGACGCCCTGCACTTCCAAGCGTTACCACGGAGACACAGACTTCAATTAGCACCTCTCCCAAAGAGGACGGGTCAGGAGTGGGGCGCCGACGCTAAATGGTCAGCAACTATTCCCCTGCGGCATCGGACGCAAGTGACCGAGCCGTGGCCGTCATGGATTTTCCAATCGATGGGAACATGCTTGCATAGAAATGTCATCGACTGTGGGAAGTTCCAAGAGGGCATGGCCATCAATCAGGCAGTCGTCTTCTACGTATTAGAAACTGGATATAGGGGGTTGCAAAAGTACTTGCACAAAGTGATTTCTTTAACATTATTATTACTAAAAACCTACAGTTTTCATTTTGGATGTGTTCTCTGAAAGACAGGTTTAGAGTTTTTGTCTCTTATGTATGATGTCACATCCTCAATCATTGATATTAAAACATATAGAACAGGGGGTGTCAAACTCACATAGTCAGAGGCCAAATAATGAAAATAGGAACTGGTCACGGGCCGAAAGAAGAGAAGGGATTTCCTTTTTTTAATAAATTGTGGGGGGTTTTTCTGGTTGATTTTTCTGAAAACATAATGTTTGTAGGGTTTAGCTTTAACAAAAAATGTATTTAAATATGAAGTTAAACACATTGTTTTATATGATGATTTAAAAAATAAAAAAATAAAAATTTGGTAGTTTTCCTGGAAAAATAGGTGACGTATAACATGCATTGGTAGCCCATAATCATCACTGCTGCAAGTTGTACACTATTTTAGGGCGACAGTGGCTCAGTTGCTATAGCATCGGCCTTTGAGCCCGAAGGTCGTGGGTTCGAGTCCACCACGAGACCTTCTCCACCGACTGTCGTTGTGTCCTTGGGCAAGACACTTTGCCTATAAGGAGCGCGGAAGTGATGTTCGCTGCTTGCCTCGATGTAGATGTGTATAAGGGTAGCTGTGGCTACAGTAGTAGTTTATCACCACCGTGTATAGAGTGAATGAATAACGACATTGCGTCATTGAGTGTCCAAAAAAGCGCTATAAAAAACTGATGCGTTATTATTATTATTATTAAAACAAAGTAGCTAACATAAGAATTAAAATGCAACAGCACAACAGGTCACAACAGCAGCCGCTGGGTGGATCAGGACAGGTCCGTTGGCTCTGTAGGCGAACTGCAGGGGGTCCAGGAGGATGGAGGCAAAGCTCTTGAGGTGGGAGATGGCCAGGTGCTCAAATCACTACACAACTGTGTGTGTGGTGGTGACAATGTGGAAACGTATGTAGGGTAGAGTATTAGGAAGGTGGTCGTACTGTCCTCTGATATCAGCCCAGTGCAGCCGTTGTCGCATTAGCAGTGAACACACCGCCCAACTGTCTGTATGATGTTTCAGGAAAATACCAGGACACCAGCGAGACTATTACCCAGAACACCAACACCGCAATGTAATTATAATGTCATTAAATGATAATTAAAACTGCTGCCATGGTGATCTCCGAGGGGCCGGATTACCTCCACACGGCAGCGGTCTGTGGGTTCCGGGTCTGACACGCTCAGCTACAACAGCGTTATGTGAGAGGATTTAGGAAGCTGCAGTCAACGTTGTGATTACAGGACCTTTGAGCTGCGTACAAATTGAATTAAAGGAGCCATATTATGCACTGTTCTCATCAAAAACAGAACAACAAGAAAGAATCGCACACACACAACATGAAGATGAAGTATTTTTGTGTTGCCCAAATCCACAACAGCCGTCGTCTCAGAGGACTTTACAAAGTTGTTGATTCCCCATGAAATATCAGAGAATCAAACCGTTCGAACACAGGTATTACAATAATAACAAACACATAGGAGCCATTGGTCATAAGGACTGGATGACCAATGTTCATGAATTCATGTTTTGAAATTAAGCAAAAGATGACTAGAATGTGTTTAAATGGGAACCATTTCAGTAAAACTAGCTCTGGTGACAGAATGACAGAAATACTATTTTGTCATTCTGCAACTGTGCCATTGAAGCCACAAAGTTAGAGACATAAATTGACTGGAACAAATCTGCTTATTACTTGAGAGCATTCATCATAGCGTTCGTTTTTTATATTTTTCCGTACGGAGCTGAAAAACAACTCCAGGTCGATTTTTACGCAGTGAGTGAACAATTCTGTTACATGGTTAAAACTCAAATAACATCGTTTTGCGTAATACGTGTCTTTTAGGAGTTCACTGAACACAGATTGTTTTCTGCGGCTGAATGTGGCTGAAAGAATTCAAATTTGAAAACTTTTTCTCCCCGAATCTGTGTGTATCGGCTCTGATTGCAGCAGTTTGTAGAGTTGAGATGAGTCGCTCTTCTGATGGGGTTCAGAGAAAAGCAATTTGAGCTCAGCCACTGACGGATGATAATCTCAGACACTTATACTTCAGTGCAGAGCCACGATTCATCTGTGGGGGGAGAAAGCCTCCTCCTCTGGTTCTGTTTGGTAACAAAGCCTCGTCCCCTGGTTCTGTGGGAAGAGAAAGCCTGCTCCCGGTGATCGTGCTAGAGAGATGTTCAGCTTTGCATTGATCTGATGTCACCAAGTAATCAACTGCCCAAGATCAATGTCAAAGTTGTTAGTCCAGGATAAATTTGCCATAATCAGTTGTCTACAATTATGTGCAATGTAATACTATCGATTCCATGACAACGGGGGTGGGGGGATTATGGGGGTTGTGCAAAAGGGTGTATGTATTTTTCTGTTGGGAAGGGTGGACCCATGGGAGGGAAACCCAAGGGAAAAAACATAATGCAGCGCAAGACAATAAATATTGGATCAAAAAAACAATACAAAAAGGATTTCATTTTGTATCGGGTTTCTGGAGTTCACCCCCCATGGATTTGACACATGCAGGACTTTTAAACCTATTGTCCTAGGCCTGTTAATACTTTTTTAAATAGTCCTTTTTATTATTACTTCAATTAATCCATGTTTTAAACAGTTTAATTGTTGTAGTTATATTGGCACAACGGATTTGTCACAGTTGTGTGTTGGACCCCAAAGCAGAGGCAGAGACTTCAAAATGGATTGACTTGACAAAAACAAAAACATAACTGAAAGCAGGCCGTGGACACAGGGAGCTGGCTGGCTGATCGTAAAAAAAAAAAAAAAACAGACCTAAACATTGGACACAACGAATAATAAATGAAAATACAAAAAGACAGGCTGGACAAAAACTCACACTGACGTAGTACATTGTGACATGGAAAAATCTGGCAGAAAAGTGATGTCTGAACGAGAGTCTTAAAGCCAGAGTGAGGAGAGGATATGTAACAGGTGTGTGAGCCTCATACATGCTGCAGAGCCAGTCACACACATGCCCTGAGAACACAGAAAGCGAGGGGAGGCAGAGCAACACACACAAACCCAACATGGATGCTCTCACTGCACTTCCACACTGTATATTTTTCAAAGTATTATTGGGCATCATTTTAACCACTATCCAAACATTCCTCCCTTCCACAAAAGTTATCACTGTTACAAGTTGATCCTGGGTTTGGTAATTACTTGCTGAGGCATGATCTGACATCACCTTCCATTGAATACAATGAAGTAATTTGTCCTGGTACCTGTACTGTGCTTGACCACCTACATTTCGGAAAAGGTTTTACTTTTATTCCTCACTTTTTAACCCGGATATTTGTATTCTCTTATCCTTAGAGACATTATGTTTGTGGATGTGTTTTGAATGGAGCAGTTTGAAACGTGACAAATGAGTGGCTGTTTGAAAGAAAATCAATTTGAGCTCAACAAAGTCTGCTACTGTGATGGCGGCAAAGAAAAAAAATGATGCTGTCTTCAAACATGACTAAAGTAGTACTTCACACTCATGGATTTTGTATTCACTGACTAAAAGATAAAATATGTAGACTTCATATATTCTGGTTCTTAACATGATCTTAAATACTTTGGCATTTCACATCCTAGAACTTGAATTAAACTGTATATTTCTGTGTGGAGTTTGCATGTTCTCCTGGTGTCTTGAAAAGGATTATTTTGATGCAGCAGCTGTGCGTTAGTACCACTTCTGTCATTGTGTGGAGTTAATGGAAAATAAACCAAAGTGTAAAGCACTTTGTGTGACCTTGGTGAAATAAGCCATCCATCCATCCATTTTCTTTCCCTTTGTCCATTTCTGGGTTGGGTCAATCAGCTGCACCCAATCCACAGAGCACCAGCCCCTCACTGATCCTCCTGCAGGTGGTGAGTCCACAGGAGGAGGGCTGCTCTGTCAGAGAGAGCCCAGCCTCGATCTTTCAGGAGGGGCTTCAGGCAAAGTGGAGTTAAGTCTCTTGCCCAAGGACACAGTCAATAGTACATACTTTTTCTGGCCCTAATTGTTACAAAGCTACCCCAAATCTGTTTCAATGTTCTTGTTTCAGAATTGGTGCACAATGATGAATTCCCAAGCACAGCCACCTTCCACTTCCTGCCACGCCTGGCACAGAAACACCTCCACACCCACTGTCTTTGCCCCGCTGTGGAGCTCCATGAGGAGAGAGATAGGCACCTACGAGTTTGTAAAAGCCTCATTTAAGGCCAAAACACTCTGTGTTTCTCTGTGTGAGTGATTAGACACACCGCCAACATATTGGATAGAAGTAATGTGACCAAGTCTTACAGACTGATTGTACTTTGTAAATGATGATATTATCTGAACAGTGAGTTTCAGGTAAAAGTAGAGGGCGTCCAACTTTGCAATGGTTCGCATGTACTCCAACAGTCGTGGTGCAGCGGAGTGGAAGATAAATAATCTGATTTGAACCACGGCCTGACTTCCCAATGCAAAAAAATATTGGGTTGAACATTGTCTTTTGTTTACTGCAGATAGTAGGAACTGCAGCAGCAGCAGTAGTATTTTATCTGTTTATATACTCTCATTTGTCATGTTTATCCCTATAGTTTCTTCTTAAAGCTGTGTGTTGAAAATTTTCTTTTCTAATGAGATGAAAACAGAATGTTGTGGTGGGATTTGTTCACAAAATTATACTTTTAGAAGACTCTATGTATTGGGAAGACTGACAAAAGGTTTCAGGTCCAAACTGAGCAGACATCTTCTCACATTAGTTCTTTATGGTTGGATATGTGAGGAGCGCTGCAGGCCCTGTGGCCTCCTCCTGCAGAGGCCTGAGCTGCAGTCAGTGATCCGCAGATATGCAGTGCACCTGTCGTCGTCCTGCGGTGAGAGCGAGCGCATTAGAGGGATTATACAGGTGGTGGTCAGTGGGGGGCGCCCTGCAGCAGAGACACCGCAGCATGGTGCTTCAGAGTAGAAGAAGCACCATGTGGATCACACTTCTGCAGAAAACACCGTGGAGCTGCAGTAATACTGTGCAAGTCTTTACCACAGACTGTAAATGTTTATACACAGCTTTTCTAATCAGCTCAAGGATTAATCTGATGGCGCCATCTTGTGTGACAGCACGGCAGGTGTTACAGTTGGTCACACCTGGGGTGTTTGTTAAAACATTTTTTTTCTGTTCACTGTCTTCATGGACAGAATTTCTAGGCACAGCCAGGGGCCGGAGGGGGTCCGGTTTGGAGTCCACAGGATTCAATCTCTGCTGTTTGCGGACGATGTTGTCCTGTTGGCTCCAACGAACCAGGACACGCAACATGGTCTGGGATGGTTTGTAGCCGAATGTGAAGCGGCTGGGATGAGAATCAGCACCTCCAAATCTGAGGCTATGGTGCTAGACCGGAAAGAGGTGCCTTGCCCTCTCCGGGTGGGTGGGAAGGTCCTTCCTCAAGTGGAGGAGTTCAAATATCTCGGGGTCTTGTTCACGAGTGAGGGAAGGATAGAGCGTGAGATTGACAGGCGGATCGGTGCAGCGTGCGCAGTGATGCGGTCGCTGTATCGGACTGTTGTGGTAAAGAGGGAGCTGAGCCGAAAGACAAAGCTCTCGATTTACCGGTCAATCTTCATTCCCTCCCTCACTTATGGTCATGAGCTGTGGGTAATGACCGAAAGAACGAGATCGCGGATACAAGCGGTCGAAATGAGCTTCCTCCGCAGAGTGGCTGGGCGCTCCCTTAGAGATAGGGTGAGGAGCTCAGTAACACGGGAGGAGTTCGGAGTAGAGCCGCTGCTCCTTCACGCTGGGGCATCTGTTCCGGATGTCTCCTGGATGCCTCCCTGGGGAGGTGTTCCGGGCACGTCCCACTTGGTGGAGGCCCCGGGGAAGACCTAGGACACGCTGGAGGGACTATGTCTCTCAGCTGGCCTGGGAACACCTTGGGGTCCCCCCAGACGAGCTGGACTAAGTGTGTGTGGACAGGGAAGTCTGGGCGTCTCGGCTTAGACTGCAACCCGGCACCGGATGAAGCGGAAGAAAATTTTTCAACTTGCTTTAACCTGGTGTTATTATGTCAAGTCATTTGTTGTCCGAATAGACCATCAAACATAACTTTATCAAGCACAGACATCTAGAGACTTCAGTGGATTTACAAACCCCACAACAATTGGACTGCAGAATGCTCTGAAAGAAACATAAGTGTTTTTCATACTGGCTCTGGCTGCATCTGCTGCTGTGGTTAAAAGGAAAGTCTTTTGTATGAAGTAAAACATATTGAAAGTCATTTTACTCATTGAGATACAAGGGTGAAAGCAAAAGAAAAGTGAGTTGAGAAAAATAGTCTACTTTTCAAATATGATGATAGATATTATCTTTAAACTCCATCCACGACTGCACTTACGTACAGCCAGAAGCACAGAGCTGCATTGATCCAACGTTTAGTCTGAAAGGGGTTCTTTCTGAGAATTTCCAGCATTCATAGAGCCACCGTCTCCAGAATTTCAACAGTTGTTCTCAAATGAATCAGAGTGCAGTCAATAAGATGATACTTCAGATTTTAGGCTGCACATCTCAGCTCCTGCTTCAAAGATAGGTTTATAGATTGTTTTGTTTTTTTTGCCCAAATACAAATACAATGAAAAAAGCAGAGTAATGTAGACATCTTTGAATCTGTATACCACCGCGTTCTCCTTCTGAGAACATTTAAGCAGAAAAGGGGAAACTGTCCAATGGCCACGCACACAATAACAGACAGCACAGAGCGACATGACAGCGCATGTACTTTACAGACGAATACTGTGAAACCAAAGAAACTCACCATGAGCAGAGACAAGTATATTGCGTTTGGGTTGAGTTACTCTTGGAAAAAGTAATTAGTTACATTGAACTAATTAGATTTTATATACAGTACAGACCAAAAGTTTGGACACTTTTTCTCATTCAATGAGTTTCCTTTCTTTTCATGACTATTGAGTGTAGATTCACACCCAGGCTGTGTAAGGGCTATTTGACCAATAAGGGGCTGGCCTCCACAGTCACCGGACCTGAACCCAATCCAGATGATTTTGGGGTGAGCTGGACCACAGAGTGAAGGCAAAAGGGCCAACAAGTGCAAAGCATCTCTGGAAACTCCTTCAAGATTGTTGGAAGACCATTCCAGGTCACTACCTCTTGAAGCTCATCAAGAGAATGCCAAGAGTGTGTGAAGCAGTAATCAGAGCAAAAGGTGCTACTTTGCAGAACCTAGAATATAAGACATATTTGCAGTTGTTTCATACTTTTTCTTTTTTTTTATGTACGAGTTAATTAATAGTTTTTATACCTTCAGTGTGAATCTACAATTTTCTTAGTCATGAAAATATATTTGGGGGGCGACAGTAGCTCAGTTGGTAGAGCCTGAAGGTCGTGGGTTCGAGCCCACCGTAAGACCTACCACTGATGACTGCTGTCGTTGTGTCCTTGGGCAAGACACTTAACCCCACTTTGCCTGAAGCCCCCACTGAAAGATCTCAGCTTCTGTGGACTCACCACCTGCAGGAGGATCAATGAGGGGCTGGTGCTCTGTGTGCTGGGGGGCATCTCTGGCCACCCCTCCGACCCAGAAATGGATTAAGGGGAAGAAAATGGATGGATGGATGGATGAAAATATAAAACTCTTTGAATGAGAAGGTGTGGCAAAACTTTTGATCTATACTGTATGTAATAAGTTACACTACTGAGTAAGTAAGTAATGTCTATTTATATAGCGCATTTTACAGACAAATGTCAACCAAAGCGCTTTACAATGTTCAGAGTTCAGATATTGTTCCAATCATTCCACACACGGTGATGATGGAAGCAAATCGCCGAACACACATCAAAGCTCCTAATCAACACCATCCATTCACTCTCTCATCTACAGTACATGTTTTAGCGGTAGGAGGAAACTTACACAGACACGGGGATAACATGCAAACTCCACTCAGAAAGGCCCTGTTCCGACCAGGATTCGAGCCCAGGACCTTCTTGCTGAGAAGCAAGAGTGCTATCCACTCAGCCACCATGCCGTTCAAACTCTTTTTGAGTTCTAGCCTCAAAAAAGTAACACACAACAGTTTAGTCGCTTAAATTAGTACATTGCTTTTAGCTTAATTTAGTTATTATATGATCTCACGTCAGTCTGTAGCAGGCCGTGTGGATTTGTAGTTGAGACCTTACCTCACATAATTGCCAATTGTCCTAAACTGATGGAAAATAGGATAAATTCCCATGACACTATATGTGATAAGGTCCAGGCCAGGGGTGATTTTAGACTAGCTTCAGGGGTGCTCACTGCTCAGCACTGATGGGGGAGGGGGTGAAGGATAGTTCAAACATGCAATTTTCAAAAGGCAACATTTTTATGTCCTTAACTCACACAACTCGTGCTTGGACCATCATTTGTATTAATTTTTTCACATATTGATATATGTTTGTGCTGTGAGTGTGTTCCTGCTGCTCTGCCTCACTCAGCCCCTGATCATTTTACTGCTGTTTACAATAATACTCATCTAATATACATGAAGTGCAGGATAAAATAAAAGATAAATCCAGTATTTCTGGGCTCATACTATTGGCAGCAGTTCTGCACATGCTCTAATGTAGACATCATCATAACAGTATCTTACCTGAAGTTAAATATCAATAGGCAAACACAGTGTGTTATATCAGGGCACTTAGTTAGAGGCTGGAGGCTAGAACCGGGGGCATTCAAAAGCAGCTGCCCCGGGTCAGAACGCTGATCCACGGAGGATGTGGAATCCCGTTTGAGGACATTTCCCGGATTTAAACATTTCACAAAAATAAAACTTTCATTGTTTGTATGCGGCAGGCATACCAGCCCAAATATGGGCATCGGCCCTTTGGGCATTGCCCGGTATGCCCAATGTCCTGTCCAGCCCTGCCCGCATCGACCTCTCATTGAATCGTTGGAGGGGATTCAAGCGAGGTAACCACAGCCACTAAGATCAGGCCCAGATGTAAATGTAGGGAAATCATAATTAATCAGAGTTTATGGATAGCTAAGGCAAGGCTATATTTTTGGGTGTGCTAGTCTCGCCGTGGTCCCGGCAGTAACAGACCGACACCCTGTGGTGTGCTAAGAGAAGCACCTCAACCACAAAAGCAGGATTTGGGTCCCTGACTTAAACAAATCTTTGGAGAAGGTACAGGTAACTGGAAGTAAGCCTCATTTAGAAGGTATCCGCTCCAGAGTGTTCCATTCCTTGGACTGAGATATCCAGGGTCTATAGGGGAATTTGGGGAGCTGAAGAGGGGTACAGCTCCCCAAACAGATTTGGTCCCCAACCCCTCACAGCAGAGGTGGGAACTCGCGAGTCGGACTTAAGTCGGTCATTTTTAGAAACTCGACTCGGACTTGCTCCTCAAGACTCAAGCTTGACTCAGACTTGTGGTTTTGGGAGCAAATCCAAGTCCATAGAGCGACACATTGTTTTATCCAAATGTGTCTTGTTAAAATTCAGGGCCAAGTGAAATGGTTTTGCTTAAGTACATCGATGTTATACTCAATTTATGTTTAATCCTGATAATATTGTCCATTGTTGCAGTGTGTTCTGTCGAAATAATCCCACAAAAGGTTCCACAAAAGAATATATGTTAAGAATAAGAAAATAATGATTGCATCACGCAGAGACTGATGAGAGAAGAAGGTGGTCACGTCACTGCAGTGTGATAAGTTCAATTCTCCACAGATAAAACAGACGAGAACTCAATAAAAGTTTCCCGAATAAGGAAGAGAGTGACAGAGAAATGAGGCTGTAAATATGCATGAGCTGACACCGACACTCACCTCTGCTCTCCGCTGGGACACTGCTCTGACTTCTGCAGCTGCGCAACTCTAGAGAGCCAGAGACGGACAGACAAACAGACAGACGGAAGGAAGGAGATGACTCCATCAACCACATTCTATCACAAACCGGATTCATCCTCAATGGGAGAAG